ACCTTCCCATGTGAAGGCAAAGAGCTAATAAGAGTCAGGATGGAGGGACACTATAAAGAAGGCATCTTTAAGATCCAGGACAATAAAGTGAGTGCTCAAAGGGGGGACATGAGAAAGAAGAGTGTCAGGGTTGGGAACCACCAGGTGGATGGGAAGAACTGTCTCATTCATTAGGCAAAGATTCTGGACTAAGTGATAGGTTCCTGAGGGTTTGCATCCTGGCAATAGGGGAGTGTTGCAGGAGGAGTCAGTAGGAAAGCAGGGTCCCTGGGCAAGTAAGCAGTCTATAATGGGTTTAAATTGCTCCCTATAGGTTTTGGAGATGGGAAAATGTGGACATAAAGGAAGTTTCGTTTGCAGTTTCAGCTAAATATGTACTGGCTTGTGGTGGGAGGCTATGACCGGCTTGAAGATGTCCCAGTCCTGGATATCGACTAGATCAGGGGATGATGGCACAGTAGATACTGTCTGGTTATAAGAGAGGTAAAGATTAGAGGCAGAAGGATATGGGTGGGAGTATTCTCTGGATGTATTTTGGACCATGGCTCTTAGTAATTTGAGAACATCTCTGCCTAGGAGAGGAATCGGACAGGATGGAATGACTAGAGAAGAGTTTGTGAATGGGTGTCCCTTCAGGGCACAGGTCAGCTGAGCAGTTCAGTTTGGGGAGGAGGGTTTGCCTTCAATCTCCATAACTGAGTCCTTGGAAAAAAACACAGGCCCAGAGTGGGCAGGCAAGACCGAATAGGTAGCCCCTGTGTCCACAAGGATGGTTGTGGACTTAACCACCACATGAACTGTTATCCTGGGCTCCGTGAGTGTAATGGAGGTCCTTAAGTCTTGGCTTCTTCAGTCTTCTGTGAACCCCAATAGTTTAAGAGAAGATACCACCTAGCTGGTTATACTCCAATGTAGAGGCAACAAGGAAGGGCCAACCATGGGGAAGTCACTCTTCAAAGGTTCTGTGTGCTTACAGATAGGGCATGGCCTGGAAGGAGGGTGTGGCTTTGGGCATTGGTGATTTCAGTGACCTTTGCATCCACATTTGAAGCAAGTACTTGGTGTAGAGGAATGATGAAACCTCCATGGAGCTCTTGCTTGAGCTGTAGGCCTCAGGGCTCTGGTAAGGCCTGGGTTTGAAGTGTTACCTTTTTCTGTAATTGAGCCTACCTAGCTAGTTCAGCAGACTCCTCCTGGACATTATAACCTTTAAAGGCCATTTTCACCACAAATTGGATAGGGTTCTGAGGGCCCTCCTCAGCTTATTTAAGTTTTTTTCTGATATCATAGGTTGACTGAGTCTGCTAGGTGCAGGCTCACTCATGGGGGTAAGGATGGAGGACAGAACAACAGAGATGTCATGCCAGATAAGATCATAAGTCTGGGAGAGGTATTGGCATTTTGAAATATAAGTAGAAATGTCAGCAGAGAAGGACCCAAGGTGCTCTGCAATCTGGGAAAGATCTTGAAATGAGAATGGGACATGTACTTGGACAATCCCTTCAGCATGAGCCACTTCCCTGAAGGGACAAAGGAACTTTGGGTTATCTGGTAAGAGGGTCTGGTGGGAGTGGGTGTGGGTACTGACATGAGAAAAGAGGGGTGAGTGGGTGGAGGTAATCATGGCTTCAGGAGAGGAGGAAGGAGGGGGTTGAGAGGGATGAAGGGGGAGGGGAAAGGTTGTATCAGTAGAAGAGGTGGGCAGAGGAGCCTTGGCTGCAGGAGAAGAGGGAGTTGTATGGAGTGAGGGAGGAGGAGCTGTGGTGGCAGGAGGAGGGGTGGAGGGGTAAGAGGGGT